GAGCGAGGCCAGTCATGTGGCCATTTACTGGGCAAAGTACCTGGAAAATCACTGTGTGATAGAAATGGGAACGTCCTCCTGACGTAAAAAGTGCTATACAAATGTAAATGTAATTTGTTCAGCCTTATTCGGGGAGGGGTGGGGGGAGACAATTGTTATATTCAAGGAGAATTCCCAATCTGGAGATAATCTGTTGAATCTGGAGCAGACAGCGAGTCGACAGTGCAGCTTAATTTAAGAATGATTCTTGCATTTGATATAGCGCCTTATCACATCGCTTCACAGAACATAGGAACAGGAGGAGGCCATTCAGCCCTTCGAGCCTGTTCCACCATTTCATTATATCATGGGCTAATCTGTACCTCAACTAATCCTTTCAATTGCAATTTCCCATTTTCTCCCCATATCCCTAATACCCTGCACCTAACAAAAATCTATCAGCCTCACTCTTGAAGGTGTGGATGCATCCAGGATCCATGGCCTTTTGGGGGAGAGAATTCCAGATTTCTACCACCCTTTGAATGAAAAATGCTTCCTGATTTCACTCTTAAATGGCCTGGTTCTAATTTTAAGACTATGCCCCCTTGTTTTGGATTCCCTCACCAGAGGAAATAGCTTCTCTGTATCTACCCTATTCAATCCCTTTATCATCTTAAATACCTCAATTAAATCACCCCTCAACCTTCTAAACTCAAGGGGATACAATCCAAGTTTATGCAGCTTTTCCTCATAACTTAACCCATTTAGGCCTGGTAACATTCTGGTCAACCTGCGCTGCAGCCCCTCCAGGGCCACTATATCTATCCTGAGGTGTGGTATCCAATACTGAATGTAGTAGATGGGGTCTGACTAACGCTCTATCAGTTGAAGTATCATTTCTTCCCCTTTATATTCCATGCCCCTTGAGATAAAGGGCAACATTGCATTCGCCTTTTTGATTACTTTTTGTACCTGGGAATTAGTTTTTAGTGATTCGTGGATATGGACACCCAAATCTCTTTGCTCCTCCACAGTTCTTAATTTCTCCCTATTACGAAAATATTCTGCTTTATCTTTTTTCAGTCCATAGTGGATGACCTCGCACTTCCCTACATTGAACTCCACCTGCCACATCTTTGCCCACTCGCTTAATCTGTCTAAATCCCTTTGTAGCTTCCTATTCCCATCTACTCAGCTTACTGAGTTTCCGAGCTTAGTGTCATCTGCAAATTTGGATATAAAACTTTCTATTCCTTCATCAAAGTCATTCACATGTGGCGAATAGCCGAGGTCCCAGTGCAGACCCCTGGGGGACACCATTGGTTACGTCCCGACAATAAGAGAACATTCCTTTTATCCCTACTTTCTGTTTCCTGCCTCCCAACCAATTACCAATATAGTGTAAAGTGAATTGACTGTGTATTTTGTGGGTGAAACGTGGCAGCCAATTGCGCAACAGTAGTTGTCCCGTAAACAGTTCAAATTATCATTATTTATTTATTTTTGGAGGGAGGGATTATTACACCCAGAAAGCGATCCGCCAACCGTATTCCTACATACTGCTAGGTAAACAGAGGTGTGCGGAGTAATGAAACTTGCCTAAGGCTTCGCTCTGCCCGGGAATTGAACCCAGGACCTTACGAGAGAGTGCTGTAAACTTAAATGTACAGAATTGGTTGCAGAATTCTCTGAAAACTGAACAGGAGGTTCAGATTCTTTTCTCTTGTGGTTCTGGCTGCTGTGCCTTTAGTTCTTTGACTCTTCCACATGACATCAGGCGGTAGGTATTCACTTGTGTTGTATAATTTAATTTACTAAAGCGAGGGAGAAAAGTGCAATAAAAACTTGAGAAGATCAGTTACTGGGAATGCAATGGGAGGCTAGCCTTTTTCACCAGTCTGCTTAATCCATTCCAAATGCAGGAAACCACATGGAGGGTTGACACACACACCCTTCAATCCCAAGCTGCTCAGTTGTTGCAGTTTGAGCACTAATCTTTCTAACTTTTGTCAATTTCACAACTACACTGATCAGAATACAGTGCAATGACCGTATTCCAACGAAACAACTTGGGGTGAATTCCAGGTGTAATGTTGAATGACTTTTGAGATGAAATCTATATTTAGGCCTAGATACAAAAAGACTGAAGATTTCAAAATGTAGAAATGGGGGAGGGTTGGGGTTGGCAGAGAGGGTCTAATATGCAGCAATTTCTAATGGGATTCCTTTTCGAAGACGTGATAAGGTGCTATATTAAATGCAATGATTATTATTATTATTATTATTAATACATTGATGAGTTGGGAAAGACCTGTACAGTTAAATAAGAATGAAGTACCTTTAGGCCTTACATTGCTGTAAAGCCTAAAGGTAAACAGAGGTGTATGGAGTAATCAAACTTGCCGAAGTTTTCGCTCTGACTGGAAACCTTTGGGAGAAGTGTGCAATCGGGGCAGTGTCAACAAATGTGATGACAAACCATTCATCTAGGTTGAGTGCTCATCTTAGAATTCCTTTGTTTGCATTATTGCTGTTATTTTTATATCGGAGCATCTTTTCCACACCTGTCATTTATAATAATAATCCTTGCATTTGACATTATCATGTCATCAAGATGTCTCAAAGAACAACACAGGATCTACTATAAAATAGTACAAATATGTTATTTTTGGGGGGCGAATGTGGCAGCCAATATGCATTTAGCAGTGTCCCACAAAGAGTCATGGAGTGAGTGACTAATTTTATTTGGAGAATTGTTAGTCAGGAAACTGCAAGAAACTCACTTCTCATTTAAAATAGTGCCTTGGATTTTTACTGTCAACCTAGATGGGCAAATGGAACCTCGGTTTAACGTCTCATCTGAAAGACAATGCAACATCCCCCCAGCACTGCACCAGAGTGTCGGCATAATTAGACTATTTGGGTTCCAAGTCCCGATTTGGGCTTGAACCCACAACCACCTGATAAGAGGTGAGAGTGCGACCAACTAAGCCAGGGTGGCATTTCATATCCAGAGAACCTCTCAAAAGCACTGAACGGGATTTCCTGTGAAGTTTAGTGAATGGCTATTTATAGGTGAACACAGGATCCAGTTTGTCCACTGCAATGTCCCATCGGCAGCAATAAACTAAATGACCAATTTTATCTGGGGAATTGTTGGCCTGGACCTCGAGAGAAACTTTTTTTCTCTTTTGAGTAATGCCATGGGATCTTTAACTTCCACCTGAACATGCGAGTTATGAGTTATGCGAGTTCAAAGTCTCAACATGGGGGCTTGAACCCAGAACCTTCTGACTCAGAGGCAATAGCTGAGTCAGACTGACACATTTATAAAATAAACAAAAGGCGAAATACTACAGATGTTGGAAATCTGAAATAAAAACAGAAGTCGCTGGGAACACGTAGCAGGTCTGGCAGCATCTATAGAGATAGCCTGATCTGTTGCGTGTTCCTAGCGACTTCTGTTTTTATGACACATTTATAACTTGGGTAACTGCGGTGCAATTTTCTTTTTACGTGTATGTACAACATTGGAAATTATACTTTAAGTCATGTTGTTTCATCCAGTGGTGGAATTTCCAAACTTGGTGCTTCCTTCACATGTTGGAGCCGTAACCTCTTCACCAAAAATGCCCTGGCAATGCTCCATTGCTATGCCCACTGGGACAAGCAGCAGGAATCATATTCCGCAGCAGCATTCATGGCCTATTGCATTTATAGCAGTCAGTTGCCAGGGAGGCTGCTACAGGATTGTTAAGTGTTGGCTATTGCAGGTGCATCTTAATTCATTGATGCTCTTTTCGCTTCTGCTGTAGTGAAGTCATATTTCTCATAAGCCATGTCTGGAACTGCGTGGGCGCTCCTGTGAGTTTGTAAGCATTCTGTGAAAATATTCGTGAAGAATGCCTTTCTCCCTCTGTATCGAACAGAGGAGTGTTATGTTCTTGGGAGTGTAATGTTAGAGACAAATGAAGAGAGGGGAGAGGCACGATCCACCACATCATGACCCTCCTAGTTTGTTTTAGTGAGTTTCAGTCCCCCCTGGAGATTAGCTTTGATCTTTGTCGGATTCAGATATTTCTAGTCCCCTGTAACTGATAACTGAGTGGAATTGGCTTCTCACATCAGATTACAGTCTGTCATGGTGATTGGTGCCAACAGCAAACGCTGATGATCACGGTCTGCAAAAAATCTGCTGCTTGCATTCTCATAGCATCAAAGGAATGTGCTCCCCCCACTACTCTCACAGCTGCTCCCAGTGGCTTTTTCTTACACAGTAAATTAATTGGAAAAACAAGGGACAAAAGGCATTAGGTGGGGTCAGCTTGCTGTGCTGCAGCGAGCACATGACAGGCTTAATCACTGTCATTTCTGGGAGGAACCAGGTTATCAAGAAAAAAAGCACTCCAATAGAGAGGGAGAGACAGAGTTGTGCTAACATCGCAGCACACTCACTGATCACTGGCTTTAAACACAGGTTTTCAGCATGAGGGTCTGATGACAGAAGGGTGTCAGAAATGCGTGCTTATCAGGAATCTTAGCAGAACATAGGTTCCAGCCTTCGCTTCTAAAGATTACTTTTGTTTAAAAAAATTGTGTAAAGGGTGCTGATTCTGAGCTTACATTTTAGTTTATTGCCAAAGGCTCCTTAATACTGAAAGAAGTTGGCATTATTTTAAGGGGAAAGATCTCGAATTTAGATATGCTTGCCCGTGTTTACAGGTACACACAATTGTCCCCGGTGCACCTGCCTTTGTAACTTATTGTTTGTTTAGTTTGTAGATCCCAGTCGATTTTTCATGCCAATAAATCTTCCCAATCTTTGTTTTTCTTCTAACATTACATTCGTACTGTGAACATGCCTGCCGCCACCTCCCTTTCCCCATCTCTCCCACCCCTCCATCCCCTCCCCTTTGCTCGGTACCAACCCCCTCCCTCTAAAGATGTTGCTCTACGTGAAAGTGCTATATAAATGCAAGTTGTTGTTGTAGTAACCAACACTCATTTCTATTCCCTTTTAGGCCTCCCATTTCAGGTAGTCCGGCGTTTTCTGACATCTCGCTCATCAGAATTTCCCCACACCGAACGCCTACTGGTGCTTCAGAGCCAGTATTTAACCCTCCTCACCCATATGTTAACCCCTATATGGACTACATACGGTCTCTGCACAGCAGCCCTTCTCTGTCTATGATCTCTGCAGCCAGGGGACTCAGCCCTGCTGATGGTGGGTGTTGTCTGAATATTTGTTTCCTTGAAATGAGTTACAATGTGTAACATTTTTAAAGAATATATATTTTTTAATGAGTTCCAAGAAGTAATAATGAATCCACAAAGATTTTTGAGCTTTATCATAATCACTGGCAGTATTAAAACATTTTATGTTATATTCATTTCATACAGCGTTTAAGCAACTTAACTTGTACTTTAAAGCTATATTGACCCAATAATCTGGTTGCTTTTTGTTTTATAAAGAAAAGGTTGTTGTGAATTTTAAAGTCTTGACTGATAAAATTTGTCTGACTGTTCCGATTTTCTCCTTCGGTAAATCGCTAGGGTCTAATATGCGACAATTTCTAACGGATTCCTTAATGAGGAAACTGAAATAACATCGTGTTCACTTGCAGGAACTCTGCGCCAATGCAGACTTCCCGTGGGTCACTACTAAAGTACTTTTGGTCAAGATTCCTCATTAAGGAATCCCATGAGAAATCATTGCATTTTAGACCCCATTATTGTTCTTTAACCCAGACATTACACTGCAGAAATCAGGAGAACAGAATAATTGCTTGAAGGATTGAAGTCTCTTTTATTGAATTCATGGGATGGGACGGCAGAGGGTGCATACTCAACGAAGCTCTCAAATACAAACACAAATACTGGATCCACTTCAGATCAATCAGCGGTCTTAAGTGAAAAATAGGTTAAACTTCAGGTCAGATGAAGTGATCCTAAGTTATATGTTAACCTATTTGTCTGTTACAGCTGCTCACTGTGAAGTGATGTAGATTGCCTGCCTTTTTAGTACTTAGAATGACAGTTTCCTCTTTATATCTTTAGCAAAAAAGATATAGTTCATGAAAGAGATGGACGCACAGGTTCAGCAGAAGCTGCATAGCATTAAACAGTCCCTCATCATGCATTTGCAGAACGTTAACTTAATAACAGTTTTAAAGTGACTCAATAAAACACTTCCAGTTTTGCTCTTGGCCTTTTCTGAATCCCTCGACTGGGCCACAGACTTGAGATCAGTAATGAGCAAACCTCAGCATCCTGCTTTCTCGTCCAGAAGTCCAAAAACAAAATATGTTGAAGCAAAGAATTGAATGGTTTCAGTGAAAATCTTCTGGAATTCATTTCACTGAAATGAAAAAGAATCTCTGAAACTATCTGAGACATTGATGGGAATTACTGTCAGCGTTAACCAGAGGTGACGCATGTGTTTTTAAATGTCACCTGTGATTTGCTAGGAGTGACGCTGTACTTTCTCATTTAGTTTTGCCACAGACCTGTCCTTCATATTGCAAATCCCCATCAGTTGCAGAGACCTGTGCTGCTCTCAAATCACTCACTGGCTAAATGCACTGTGCAGTATGTAACTGAAAGATACAGTGCAGGAAGGTCAAAGCTTTAATCCCTGCTCTCTGCTGGATTTCCCAGAGTGCTGCTTTTGTGGGCTAGCGGAATATTCAGTTGGTTTGCAACCCAATAAACCCTGCTGAGAATGTATAGGTGAATGAGGGCAGAATTGGGCTTGAATCTGACACTTGAACAGCCTCCCAACACAATCCATACGCACTTGAAGGATGACCACTTAGACCAGAGCTTGTGTGGAACTAAACCTCAGGATTAGGATCAGTCACCATCTTCAGGAGAGATGGGTGGGGAGAGGGAAAATTCTGCATTAAGTTGATATGAATATTTTATGACTATTTCAATTTAATATTAATATAATAATACATTTATTAATATTAATATAATAATATAATTACAATAGGGAAATAATCATTCCCCAAAAAATTTGGCTGCCTTTTTTTGCCACAAAATACAGTCAATCCACTTTACAGAATATTCTGTGAAGCGCTTTGAGCTGTCCCAACGATGTGATTAGGTGTTATGTCAAATGTATGTATTATTATGATTATTATGAATATGCAGATGCTTTTGTCTATTTCAAAGCCGTCTAGTTATGTTTTTTTTGTTTGTGTAACCCTCAACTCCGCAGAACTATCTAAAGGATGGAATGTGTTTGGATTTTCAGCACCCCATGCTGCAGTCAGCCCAGCAGAATACTACCACCAAATGGCTCTGTTAGCAGGCCATCGCAGCCCATATGGTGACATCCTTCCTCCAGCCAATGCCACCAGTGCCGGTGCTCTTCACATGGAATATCTCCATGCCATGGAGGGTGAGTGGTCGAGCAGAGAGATGTCAACTGTGTGGCGTTAAATGAAATGTTTTGTTGAAACAAACCATCTATGGGAAATTAACAATTATTGCAAAGTTACATTGTCATACCAATCAAATTATACTTTGAGGAAAGAAACCCCTCAAAAAACAAGCTCTGGTTTGGTCGTTAAATTTAACTCTGTTTATTTATGGGGAAAGATCAAAGATAGTTTCAGAAACATAACATTGTTTTTATTTTAGCTAGTCTTATTTTGAGTTTTAACTTATTAGATCTGGGAATGGGCTTCACATTAGATAAACCTTTGGCCATTTTAGGAGGGTCAGAATTATGAGTTTCTCCAACAACATATCACGTGGTCTGTTGGAATATGTTTGCATGGACCTATGGCAGGTCTAGAAATCTGTCATGTCTCTGAAAGTGAGCTTATAATGGAACAAAAACATCCAACCCTAGAGGAAGGGAGTGAAAATACAGTTGGCTGGATTCGATTGGTTGCATTCTTGTCTTGGTGTCAGAAGGTTGTGGGTGCAAGCCCCACATCAAACCCGAACTCACAGTCTAGGCTGACACTCCAATGCAGAGCTGGGGTGTTCTGCATCACTGGAAGTGCCATCTTTCTATTCAGGTGGATATTAAAGATCCCATGGCACTATTCAAAAAGATGGTGGAGTTTCTCCTGGTGTCTGGTGAGCAATCCTCCAAATCAGGGCTGTCTTTGTCATAGAATTATACAGCACAGAAGGAGGCCATTTGGCGCATCGTGTCTGTGCTGGCTCTTTGAAAATAGCTATCCAATTCAATCTGATTCCCCCATTCTCTCCTCATAGTCCTGCAAACATGTCTTCCCCAAAAATTATCTACTTCTCTCTTAAAAGCTGTCATCGAATCAGTTTCCACCACCCTTTCAGGCAATGCATTCCAGATCTGAACAACTCGCTGTGTAAAAAAATTTCTCCTCACCTCACCTCTATTTCTTTTAACAACTATTGCCCTTGGATAACTGACCCACACTCCAATGGAAATAGTTTTTCCTTGTTCACCCTATTGAATCCCCTCATAATTTTCAAAACTTCTATTAAGTCTCCTCTTATCTTTCTCCGCTACAAGGAGACTAATCCTAGCTTCTCTATCCTCTCCACATAACTGAAGTCCCTCATTCCTGGTACCTTCCTGGTAAATCTCCAATGCCTTGACATCCTTCCTAAAGTGTGGTGCCCAGAACTGAACACAGTACTCGAGCTGAGGCCTAAGCAGTGTTTTATAAAGGTTCATCATAACTTTCTGACTTTTGTATTCTATGCCCCTATCTATAAAGTCCAGTATCCTGTATGCTTTTTTAACAGCTTTATCTACCTGTCCTGCCACCTTCAATGATTTACTTATATGAATACCCAGGTCTCTCTGTTCCTTCACCCCCTTTAAGAGTCTACCATCAGCTTATATTGCCTCTCCTCATTCTTCCTCCCAAAATGCATTACTTCGCATTTCTCCACATTAAACATCATCTGCCACACGTCTGCCCATTTTACCAGTCTGTCTATGTCCATTTGCAGTCTGCTACCATCCTCCTCACTGTTTATTACTTTTCCTAGCTTAGTATCATCTGCAAACTTGGAAATTGTACTCCTTATGCCCAAGTCCAGGTCATTCATATAGATCAAAAAGAGCAATGGTCCCAATACTGACCCTTGGGGGACACCACTGCACACTTCCTTCCAGTCAGAAAAATAACTGTTCACCACCACTCTCTGCTTTCTATTTCCCAGTGAATTCTGTATCGATGCTGCCACTGTCCCTTTAATACCGTGGGCTTCTATTTTGCTTACAAGTCTACTATGTGGCACTTTATCAAACGCCTTTTGAAAATCCATATAAACTATATCAACTGCACTACCTTCATTCACCCTGTCCATTAGTTCATCATATGGCCGTGGGGTGATATTTGGCGGTTTGTCCATTAGTTTCTAAAATCACATTGATAAAATTGCAACACATTAGTGGAGCCCTGCCACTTGTGGTCTGGCAAGCTGCTCATCCAGGCATCCTCAATGGGGTGTTTGTGGGATTCTGTTACCTGCAATTGGTTGTTGCATTCACCCACAAAAACATAGTCACTATACTTTACAGCAATTAACTGAAACAGTTTGACTTCATAGGTGTACACCATTCTTACATGTCCCAAGAGAGACTGAAAATAGAGCTGACCTAGCAGGTTTTTTGCCCAATATGGTGGTTGAGAAATAGTGCATGTCATAATAATAATAATAATAATCCTTGCATTTGATATAGCGCTTTTCACGTCGGGAGGACGTCCCAAAGCGCTTCACAGAACACACTGTAAAGTGAATTGACTGTACATTTGTGGGCGAACGCAGCAGCCAATTGCGCACAGCAATGTCCCACAAACAGTCGTAGATTGAAAATGACCAATTTATTATTGTTTTTGGTTTTTGGAGGGATTATTATTAGGCGTGTGGAGTAAGGAAACTTGCCCAAGGTTTCGCCCTGCCTGGAATTGAACTCAGGTCTCTCACTTGCAAAGCGAGTGTTCTAACCACTGAGCTACAGGACTCCACAATTAGAAGGGGAAGGGGTTTAAAAGGCGTGGAGCGGGAGAAATAATGAAAATTGGGCAGGAAGAACAGTGTGGGTAATTGTTCCTTAATCTCTTGTACTTCAACAGAGGCTGTAACATCAGATTGGCATCGCTGCTAAGTCAGAGTGAAAAGCTGTTGGTTGTCAGTGCGATTTACCCCCTCCCTTCTTTCCCTCATCCCCGCCCCCCACCATACATGTACATGCATACAAACACCCTTACACATAGTTCCAATATCAATTGGACTGTTGGATGGGGTGATTTGATACCATTAGACCAGACTGAAGGACAAGTCAGACACTGGTTGCTTGTCAGTTCACTTGTGAGCCTCCAACAACCAGCACAGGAACTGCATTGAGGGACTCGGTGTAGGCTGTTGTTCTTATTTCAGAACTGGGCAGTGGTGTTTGGCTCTGTGAGGATATAAGCCAGAAGAGTTGGAACAGTTTATGTGCACCTTTCCCGGAAACGTTACAAGAAACCAAACACTCTAAATGCCCAATTCACACTTCGTGTTTTTAACCATGATACTGAATTAAACCTTTTCTGTTCATTCAGTCTCTGGTTGCTGGCAGGCATATTGGTGCAGTGACCTTTTGTGCGTTTGATGTGTAAAAGTGTTTTTCAAAACTTTTGTGTTATTTGTTTGTTGTTCATCCATAAAGAATGACTAACTCCTCTCCCTGCCAAAGAACATGTCAATCAGTACTTCTTTATATTTTGGGTTATTTTTCTCCTCCCCATCCTCTCGCCAGTTCCCACCGGCAGCTTGCATGCCCATCCAGCACTGTGAAGTGCTTTCAGACGTCCTCCCGACGTGAAAGGTCAATATAAATGTATATTCAGGCAAGGCTCACCCAACTCAAGTTACAGTGAGTATTCCCAGCAATGCACTCAAAGCCATTAAACGTACTTTTCCCTGAAATCCTAAATTAAGTTTACAATGAGGATGCTGAGCCAGTGAGAAGTTACTGTCCAAACACTGGTTTCACCTCATTTTTCTGGAGTTGTGAAGGCCAGGACAGAACACAATACAAATACAAAATTACATTTGTAAAGCGCCTTTCACGTCAGGAAGACGTCCCAAGGTGCTGCACAGTCAGGGATCTGGATTCGAGCAGGGTGGTGTTGGGATCAGGAAGGTAGGAGGGTGGCTGAAGACTTTGTTGAAGAGGAGGGTTTGAGACGTGCCTTGAAGGAGGTAAGGGAAGGGGTGAGATGAAGGGACTGTGGCATGGAGTTTCAAAGGATGGGGGGCAAATCAGGCACTTGGGCACCTTCTATGGTCCTCCAGTGGCCGCTACAGCAAACCACTGTTCCTTACCGTGCAGTTGTCTGATGTCTGAAAGCTTACGTGTGTGTGAATCTGCTATGGGAATTTTTTTTGCCGGTGCAGGGGAATATCAACGAGGCTCAAATAAACGTAGCGGAATGACTTGAGAATCATCCGAAAATCAGGCAGCTTTTGTTCCCGGCTTTTCTTTGCCATTCTAGGAAGTCGTTTGCCCCAACAGAGGTCACACAAAATGAATCCTAATGGCGATTCATGGATATTGCAAGCTAATGCCCTGGACATCACTGTGTCACTTAAGATATTTAGACGGCTCTGTGTGCGTAGAATGTAGCTCCAAGCTCTGTCTGTGTCATTTCATACACCTCCTCCGTGTGGACACAATGTGATGTCCCAACCCAGAGTTGGATCTCAGTCAGGCCAGAGCTGGCAAACCTGCCTGTTTTACAATACCAGTTACTAATCTGTTGTATGAAAGTGGCATTGAATCCTGTAGAGTGATAAAAGATTTCATATTACTTTCCTGTGCAGGAAGGAATATTCTGGGAACTGTTTCTAAATGGGAGGATGGGGGATGAAAGTTTAAATTAGGCATCGTCTTAATGTAGGGGCAAATCTGCATAGTGATGTTATGCAGATGAGTTATTTTATTCGTGTAAATAGAAGATTAAAAGACGAGTGCATTATGGGAAGGTCAACTCACCTCACCTTTATCCAGCTGATGAGAATCTGTTTAGTCAGTCATTTCTTTAATCTAAAATGGGCTGGATATAGCCTTTCCTTTTGTACAAAGCAATTAAATGATCCATTCTCCAATTGCTGTCAAACCACAGTCTGGATTAACTGAAGATTTGCGTTGCCCTATCTTTCATCTCAATATGACTGTATTCTTCTGTTGTAGTTTAAGAACAATGTCCAGATAACCACTGATGTCTTCATACTTGCTGCAGTTTTTACAATTGACTTCATACTTCTTTTTCAAGTGTACAGGAATAGGGATTTTTTTTCAGGTTCTCAAATCATTGTTTGTTACACAATACTGACATTTTAAAATGTATAACCACTGAAAGGGTTATGTTTCATGCTATCAATATATTCCTGTATAAATTGAGTGTATTTTCAGTCACACCTTCATTTAAGTACTGAAGCTCATTAGGCGAATAATCTTGAATTGACGATCGGATGGCGGTGCCTCAGTGAGGATACTTTGATGTCATATAACATACAGCTGGGAGGGAATACTTTATATAAACAGCAGACCTTCAGGTCTTTTTTTAAAAAAATATTTTGCTTGAGTAATTTTCTCTCATCCTTTTCCTGCTCCTCCTCCTCCTCCTCCTCCTCCTCCTTCATTCACAGTTGCTACACTTTACAAGTATATATTGTGAAGCCCTTTGAGTCATCCTCCTGATGTGAAATGCAATGAATTGAAGAAAAAGATTATATCAGTTAACTCAGTAAATTATGTGAATCAAATCCTCAACTAAGATCATTTAAAAAAAATCTACTGTAGATTTTTATAGTGTAAGCCACTTGACAGTGATGCTTGACCACTCTGAATGTTAGTTTGGATCTAATTGCGATATTAGAATACTTATCTTAGCCTCTGTTTTATTAATAATAATCCTTGCATTTGATATAGCGCCTTATCATGTTATTGAGACGTCTGAAAATACTTCACAGAATATTCTGGAAAGTGAAAAGTATTTTCTTAAAGGCTTGCTGAAATTTTGAAAATTAAACAAGGATTTTGTATTGTAGTTTTGTTATTCTTCTGTTCTACTAGAAACACAACTTAGAGAATACACCTCTTTGCTTTTTATTACTTAGCTTGGAGAATTATGACATGCAATATTTGACCCAAATACTGGTGTTTTTAAAAGCAGCAATCAGAAGTTGGACAAAGTTGCAACGTTCTGAACCAATGTCAATACCAGATGCTGTTTAAAAAGGCTCGTCATGGGTATTCACTGAGAAATCTGCTTTAAAATGTTGGAAACTAGATATTCTGTTCTAAAATGTAATCACAATCCTCCTGGATAAACTGATTTCATCCCATGCTAAATTGGAAATGTCTGCGCTTTCCAACTAATTCGTACAAAATAAAACACAGAACCTGTTTAATTGTGGTAAGAGGATTAATGGCAATAGTTTACCCCACTTGGAATGAACTGGGCACAATTCTGCCCAATCTTACACTGGATCCTGTCACTCATCCAAAGCTGTATTTGGGTTTGAATTAAATGCTCCCTGGTTGAACATTTTTCTGTGATTTCCGTGTTGTCGGTTGGTACTCTGTAGACGAAATGAAATAAGAGTTTAAATATATAATTCTCGAGTAGCTGACTGAGCAAATCACATCTGCAAAATTACAACTGTCAGGGGAAGGGGCCTGTGGGGCAAGGACAGAGCTGTACTTTACAGACTATAAATGTTGTGGGGGGAGGGGGTCAGCGATCCAAAATTAAGGCTCAAGGTTCATCCTTATGGAGTTTATTAAGCAAAATTTACATAGAACTAAATTTTGTGTGTTTTGTTTCGCTGCCCTCCCCACTCTCATGTCACGCTGAAATGGGAAACAAGAGGGCTTGTGCTCATGGAAGAGTGGGTGGGATTTCAAACGCGTCAGTTCCTCCCTTGCTCATTATCCTCTTCCTAATGAGAACACAGCAGGTTCGAGATAAAGAAAGAACTTAATGTGTAAAAATGCCCCATTGTTCCACACAGGTAATTGCAGTCTATTGTCGTGACTGTGTATTTACGGGCAACCACACAGCAGTCATTTTGCTGAGAACCCACAAACAGCCATGACCAAATAGTCAAAAGGTTTGCTGACAAGCACACTGGTAGAAACTTCCGTCTCTTTTTGACAAGTTTTGGCTGGCTGGTTCTGGTCTGACCACCCCATGCCTTCAGTGCTGGTCTGCTGTATGTTTATAAAAGGTGGGTTTAGTCCCTGAGGGGATTGAAATCCAGGCGGCACTCCAAATTGAGTTTAAATCCTTCAAGATTATGGAAGGCAATTGACATTGACGTGTGCTCCCTGCAGCCATTCTGCCCCCCACACAAGCTGGTGAAATGAATGGAAAATTGGGGCCACTGTATTCAGACTCCTGTACAGCTGATTTCATGCACAAACCTTGCTGTATGGGGGTAGAGGGATTCCCATATGTTATATATATATTATATAAAACACATATGAATACAACTGGCCTTTATGGACAGATTCATACTTGTGTAAAACACCAGAAGCTTAGCCCGTAAGTGACTTTTAAGCAGTAAAGGTGCCACAGTTAAGTTATTACCCTGATCATGTGGATTATTCTACTAAGTATACAAATAATTGTTATTGCCTCTGCCTCAGAGAACGATTTCTCAACATGAATTCCCCCTTGCCCACCCCTGTTCCCCCCCAGCCCCCACTCCCATCTTTGAGCCACTTCTGAGTTGTGACTGTGATTTCTGCAAACTGTACAACTTTTGAGTTTCTTAACTTTTTTATTTTCCATTCAGTCAGCTTTTGTTCTGAAGGTTTCCTTTTTCCTGGTGCAAGTGTGCACCACTGTCTCGCTGGTTGTGGTGAATTAATGATGTGAATGTCTAAGCAGCCGTCAGATTCATAAATCACTAGAAATGAGAGGGGCAATACATAGAAGCCTTTTCTTTTTGTTTAGCAATTTATCATTTTGCTTGCACATTAATAAACAGAACTCCCCTGAGGTAAGGCAGTGGAAGATAAATTCTTCTTGCTAATTTTCCTCAATTGTAGCCAGTAGATCACAGGTGGGACGTAAGAAGCTTATCAGAAAAATCATTTTATGAGTCTCCTTTCACACATTAGTTGGGCATGATGAATAAATGGACAGTTTGAACACGAAATACTACATGGTACTCTGCTCTAATTCTCTTCTTTAATGCAACAGGCTCTCGATTCCCCAGTCCCAGGCTGTCAGCCAGGCCAAGCCGAAAGCGTACACTCTCCATATCCCCGCTGTCTGATCCCAACTTTGACCTTCAGACCATGATAAGAACTTCCCCCAACTCTCTGGTCACCATCCTCAACAACTCCCGCAGCAGCTCCTCCACCAGTGGCTCCTATGGCCATCTCTCTGCTGGTGCAATAAGGTAAGAGGCACTTCACTGCTCCCCTGTGTTAACGCTTTTAACCAGTGAGTCACTGTCCACTGTCACAAATGTGCTCCAGTACTTGTTCAATAATAGATCCATTCATCACATTGCAGGGATTTTTTAATATCTACTTTCCAAAGGATGTATCTTTTTCCAAAGAGCCAGGAAGCATTAGTGGGTCTAAAATGTGGGACTTCTATGTCTCACAAATGGAAGTGTCATTCAGATCCACAGGAATTCCACTCTTGGGGAGCAGAGGTTACAGGTCGGGAAATTTCTAACATATCCTTAGAATTCTGTTAGAAATCCTATGTTTTAGACTAAAGTGACCTTTCACTTCATCTTTAAAAAAATCCATGTTAATTTGTGGAAGTTCCTGGAAGTATAGTTCACACGTACGTTTCGAGTGAAACAAAACTAAGAGAAAGGGTAGACGTCCACACTGAGCACTTGTATGTGCGTGTGTTTGTGCGTGCAGTAAGTTGTTAAAGGAGCCGCTGTCTTCATTATCCAGAGACTGTCTATTCTTATGAGGAAGGAGGTGAGACCGAAGAGCCATGCATCATAACCCCATGCATCGTGGGTTTACAAACAAAGCAAATGGGATCTGCCAGAGTGTTTAATATCAAGGTCTGGCTGCTCTGAAACTGTTGAAAAGTGAACGTTGTAACCAGTCTTGCTATTTCAGTCTGCAAGCTTTCGGGTGTTGTAATAATTCATCACTAGACACACTAAATTATCTCAGAGGACGGGCTGGTGCAGGCAAGGTTTTAAGCGCTCTGAGATCAGACCTGGAGAAAGGTGACTTGCTAAAGATCCCCTTCGTGCCTTGGCCAATCAACTCACAAGTGAACAAAAGTGCCTGCAGCCTTACTCCAGACATCAATAGACAAGTGTTCACAGCAGTTCGTCTCATTCATCTCTCCCAGTTCTGAGAATTTACTGCATAAACATGTGGAGAATGTGTGTGTGCTTTTGGGGGTGGATTTGAAGCAGTGCTCTCTCGCCAGTACTGAGACCTGACTAACTAACCTGGTAGAAATGAGACAGTCCTGCGAAATTTCACAAGGGGTTTAATAAGTGGATTGCTATCACCTGCTACAATTCGTGTTGTCATAATACTTTCTTACCTCCTTTATTCCACGGAGCATGAAAATGTAAATGGTCATGGTTTCGTGCCCCTGATATTTTACTGCTCTGTGTTCTCCTTGTGTACCATATATACCCTCAGCCAGTTGCTTTGCCGGCCTGTCTTGTGTTTGCTGCAGAGTGATGCAGACTTCTCTTTCTGAAGACCGAGTGATTAAAGCTGTTGTTGGATGTAGCGTCTGTTGTGTCTGTGTCAGGCGCCACAGCACAAGCAGGAATAGCTTGAGTTTTCAGAATCCCAAAGGAGTATCGTGTATTTGGGTTACAGTAGTAAAAAGCACGAATTGAATGCCAAAGCATTTTGAAGTTTCAGTGGAGGCCCTTTTCAATAGTATGCTGTTTGCCTTACTCTTTTTAAGCATTTTCTTTTAAGGAGGAATCGTCACTACATAATTGTTCAATTTACAGGTGTTTTGGAGCAAATCAGGCTGAGTTGACTGCAGCTAACGTGCCTCTGTAGCCTTGTTACAGCACAATTAAGATTGGTATTTATTTTGCTGCCTTTGATTTCTTAATTGACTACAGGGCACTTTCTCAACAAGGTGGTTATGTAAATGAAGGCCAGTACCTGCAGCTTGCCTGCTGTTATCAAAGCTGGTTTAATGCAATTACACTATTTATTATTAAGCCAAACAATTCGTAGAGCCCTTTCCCTTTTCCCCTTCATAACTGTTCTTGGTCACCGCAAATGACTTAACTCTCAGCATTATTGCCCCCCAGAGTTTACAAGGTGACTGATCTCTCCGTACATCAGCGTTAAATAAATGCCGTGTGGTGGTGGAGGGAGGGAGGAAAGAGCTTAATAGAAATAAATAAGATGAAATAACCCAGCAAATCCAAGTTAGTGCATGGTGTTTTGAGTCTTGGCTAATAAAGATGTATAGACTGTTCTTTGGTTTTAACAAACTAGATTTTGCAGTTGTCCCTAGGAAGCAGTTTCAGTGGGCATGTAAGTCAGTGAAACAACCTCTGCTGTAACCGGATACATTAGTGCTTCATTTTTGTTTTCTGCTCCTATGTGTAAAATAAATAAATTTAACCCTTTTGATACTCATCAATCTCAGTTGGGAGCGTGAAGAATGTGGCCTAGGTCTTTATTATTCCGTTAGATAATTGAAGAGGAGAGAGTTAAGTCACTTTGCCCTTTGATGAATGGGTAGTACATTGAAAAATAAATTGGACAAACTGCCAGGGAGCTCAGTGAACATGAAATTTACCATTAGAAGAGTGCTCAAGAACAAATTTTGAGCCTGATATGCATCTTCTGATTAATACCCTATCAATCATACGTAGTGTCTGCCATAGCTTTCGTGTGTTATAATAATTCATGACTACACACACACACAATCACAATGCAACACAGGGCTTTGTAGGAGCATAGTTTTCTACGTTCCATTGTGAGGTTTAGAATTTACCTGATTTACTGTCTCTCTTCCCCTCCTTTTCTCCTCCTCTCCCCATATGCCCATCTAGTAACTACTGTGGGTCACGGATTTCCTTTGTGGGTTTCTGACATGTGTGATCCCTTGGTGGATCTGGGCTGGAAGGAGACATTCATCTGTAGTGCAAGCTTGACAGATTTTCCTGAGGTTGGGATGGAACCTGTTTACCTAGCAGTAAGTAGGAACCCGGTTATTCGTCGATTTTGGCAGATCACTTTTTCGGGAGAAATAATTCCTCCAAAAACATTTTTTTTTAAAAGAAATCAGTGGGACACCACACCGCTGTGCGCAATTGGCTGCCGTGTTTTGCCCACAAAAATAGTCAATTCACTTTACAGTATATTCTGTGAAGTGCTTTGATAAGGCGCTATATCAAATGCAAGGTTTATTATTATTATTATAATAACCACTGCTTCATATAACATGCAGACTGCCGAATAGCAAGCACCACCTAGGCAATATTATTAGACCTCCCCTCCTCTCCAGATGGCATATAAGAAAATAAATCGGTCTTCACATTTTGAGCTCATACATTTAGTCTGTTCCACTATTGATTGTTTGTATCAAATTGGAGGAAGCTGCTTCCACACCTGAAAGCCACTAATGTCAAACATTATGTGTCTGTTCAAGGACTGTTCACACAGCAAGTCTTGGATAATACTGATGCAACGTGAAAGGCGCTATACAAATATAATTTGCTGTTGTAACACATTTCTTTCCCTTTATGCAAAGGGCTGGGGAAAAAACAACAGTTGATATTTATGTAGCACCATTCAAGCAAGGTACTGTCCTAAAGCACTTTGCTTTTGAGGTGGATTACTTAGAAAGGTGGGAAGGAAAGGCTTCAGGAAGGTGTTCCCTGTATAAAGGAATGTACAGTTTGTGGTATGGAGGGAATGAGTGAGAGAGTGGACTAGAGGAAATTGCAGAGATGGAATAGGGCAAGAGCATAAATGTTGTTTTGTGTGAGGTAGGATGTGCTGATTTGATCAGTGCACACTAAACTGACATCAGAAGGTTTCCCACTCAAATGGACTGATCTAATTTTATTTCTTTATCCAGAAGGTAATTAATGACTGGAACAGATTACCATGAAGGCTAGATTGGTTAAGGCCAGGACACTGGACTCGTTAAAATAAAGGGGGAGAGAAAGAGAGTAGCCAGTCTGTTTGCAGATCCCCGTGGAGGCCTCTCTTGAACTTGTTGCTAGGAGGTGCATGAATGGATCAGGCTGACTTGAAGTTCGGGGAAGCACCACTTATCTGTGCCTCCTGCAAACTCTTAGGAAGTATGGAGTAGAAACTCTTACCTCGCCACACATGATGCAGTGCATAAGTGTATTGCACTACTGAGCACAACCCAGTTTTAACAAGGAATTGCACATAATTCATTTTACATTGGGAGGATCATTTTGTTACAACAGTGGGATTGTAGTCCTGATTACTGAGCTAATACTTCACTTTTTTTTGCTATATTTAAGAATGCTCGTCACTCAATTCCTTGATTTCCAAGTTTTCGTTCAGTTATATTGATTGTTTTTTAACTCCCTCTTTCAAATCCCTTCTGGTTATTATGTGTCTGGACAGTAATACTGACAAAAGTAATCCTTCAGTACAGGAGCACTGTGACAGTCGTGGCTTTGAGGAAATTAATGTGCTGGTCTCTCCCGGGATTCAGACTAATATTTAATTGAGTGACACATTGTGTTCAATGTGAGAAAATATCACCAGTCTTCTCATGACACTTTGGGCAGAAATTAAATGTTATTTGAAAAGCTTGATAAGAATATAAATAGAAGTAGTTAATAGGATATCACAGAGGTTTAGTGTTGCAGTAACAAGTTTCCATATTTACTCAGTGAGTGTACTCAACTGTATACACACCAAAGACAGCAGAAGCAATAAATGTCTTACACCCTTTCAGTTTCATGAGGTGTTAGATGTCAGCCTGCCTCAGTTAGTTTCACCTCTTGCCTCTCGCTCAGAAAGTTGTGGGTTCAAGTACCTAATTGGGACTTGGGATCATAGTCCTGGTTGATACTCCAGTACAGGGGTATTGTTAGAGGTGCCATCCTTTGGATGAGACTTTGAACCAATTTCCAGTGGCTACAAATACAGCCACACTTGACAGCAGTTACCTGAAGAAACACTTTTAAATGTTTCCATATTCTAGGTGCGTCAGATGTAACAATTATTATTATTACTACTGTCTGGGACCATTATGAAGTTCTATTTATAACCCTAGACATAGGAAGTTAATGGTGAAATACATATAATTGAAAATAAATGCTTTCAGCTGCTCTGATTTGTTCCACTATAAGCAATGCAGCAGCCTTGCAATGCTCAATGAGGTGGTTTGTTGCTGTCATAAGGAAGACCAAGAGGAAAATCACATGTTTGAGTAGTT